ATCATAAATGCTAGAGTTACTTAACTGCAAGACAGAGTGAAGGCTGGCCCCAGTTTGGGGCAATTAAACCCCACAGCAATCAAAATAAAAATAAAAAGCCTTTATCACAAATGTACTTTTCTGTTTTTACTGGAAATCATGAAGCAGCTCAGCCTCAATGAATCAGAGATTGAGACAAATACAGGTCTCCCCTCCATGAAACTCTGGTGTGTGCTCTTTGTGCTTTCTTCTGGACAGAAGGAAAATTTAAAAATAAAAAAAAGAAAGGAAAAAAAAAAAAGAGAGAGGAACAGGCACCAACTCAAAATTTTCTTTCCAAAAGTAGCAGCCAGGTCAAAGGGAGGCCAGCCTTGCTTAGAGAGACCTGGAGCCATTACAGAGTTTGTCCGGCATTTAAGATATGATCTCATCTCCACTGATGGGCACTTTGTTTATGGAATCAAATCTGTAACAAGTAATGAACAGATTGATTTGGCACATACAGTCACACTTCATTATTTCTCAAAAATCCAGAGTTATAGTCACTTTTATTTGTATGGATAACTAATAAAGCAACTGAGTTAATACAATTGAAAGCTAAAAGAATGCTTTTACAGCATCGTGATGGGTCAGTTCCCTCCTTTGAGCAGCATTATTCCCTCTTTTGCATCCCCATCTCACTTTCTTCAAACCAATTACCCCTGACCCCATTCCTTCAATTTATTTTGGAGGTGCCTAGGCTGGGCTGGGCGAGGAACAGAAAGTATTTTAAATTGAAAAAAGCTCTAGACTACTTGAAAACATTTTTAACAAAGAAAACTTGAGGCAGTGTGAAAAACTCTTTACATATTATCCGTTTATAATACCTTTTCTCCCCTGGCTATTTCACTACTGTTATTCAAAAAAAAAAGAGTTCTAACTCTTATCTTTTCCCCCCTTCTCCTCTCCTTTCTGACACACTGTATTTGCTTTCGAAAGGAATTCAAAATTTTGAGCCTTTTCCCTACCTGGTGTGTTAGCTGTTACAGAGGCCTTTCATTAGCAGATTACATAAATGGTACTTGAAGCAATAATGGTGCAAAACAATATTCTAAAGGAACAATTTATTCATGTGATAAGAATTGCCTCATTTATTTTCCATAGACATAGATCTGATTAATTTAGTGTTTCTATTTTCAAAGCCTATTAAACTGTATACTGCCTTTGGCAAATGGTACAGAGATTCACAGTGCTGAACAACGTTTTTGTTTTAAGTATTATTTACTATTATTTTGTGACATAGCTTCTTGTGTTCAGGTTTGGACAATGGCAAATAAAATTCTGCTGAAAATGGAAACAAGTAACAAGATTGACACAAATAATTCCATCTTCCCAGCTGTGTCCAAAAAAAATGTAAGATTTGAGAGAAAAGCTGAAATTACCTCATACAATATACCATTATGTGCAAGAGCTGCCAGCAGGATCATAAAGGCAGAAACCATGAAGGAGAACAAGGTACAGGGAACCTGATTAATCCCAAACTATTCTCCTGTCTGTCCTTTAGGCACAATTGTCAGCCTCTCCATGGAAATGGCTCCAAAACCCGCCATGAGGTGTTTGTGAAATAACTTCACTCTAGGAAAATGCATGTTTTATAAGCACCTTGTTTAGATGGCATGTTTGTCCATGGAAACCCTCAAAAAGTTAGAGAAGAAAAAGAATATTCTTAAATAAAACAATATTATCTGGACCGCATCCTGTCACAAGGTCATTTTTCTGCATATGGGGGTTCTTGATGAGATGGAATGACAGAGCACTGGTCCATGAGCTCTGGCACTGCTCTTGACCACTACAGCGTGGGTACCTGCCATTCCCATTAAAAGCTACAATTAAAGACAGAAGAAAGTAGTGTTTGCCTTATGGAGTTTATGAGTAGGATCATTTTTAGAAAGGAATTACAGGGGTCTGAATTTCTACTTACACCTCTAGAACAGGGCTTTTGGCTTTCTTTATGGTTGGTTTTAAAATAGTTTCCTAAAGACAACTGAATTAAACTATTTTATAAAGAAAATAAACTCTTTTGCCTAATAATACAGTAAAAAAAGTACACAGCCCTTAGCACCCAGAGAGCAGCATTCCACCTTCAGCTTTAGTTTGGAGAAGGAATTGTGCTGTAATGAGAGTCTCTAATGGGTCACCCAGTATGTTTCTTCTTAATCTTCATTCATCTCCATCTGGATTGTTATAATGCTCAGATCAGCATCAAAACTAAGGCAGTGGTTCGATTTCCACCCATCATCGCAAAGGGAGTTTGGAGAATCCAGAAGCATTAGAAATTTAAGCAATCAAACTGAGAGATAAGCATCATCTCTATCTTCCCTATTTTGCATATTTGTCCTGATTTTGCTTAAAAACAAGATGTAGCAGTGGCACGTTCATGACTACAACCAAACCATTTTGCCATTTTTGTACTTTATTATGAACAAGCAACACTAACAGATTGGCAAAGGGCTTCATAGTAGTCCTGGCAATTTACAGCATATCCTCTCTCTGCTTTCACATCCGTACAAAGCAATCACTATGACGCTCAGGCCAAAACAAAGACTCTATTTTTGTCACATTGCTGCCCTTCAACACCAACAAGACACTTACCTGCACTACAATTTACTGTTACATCATTTTGGACCTGTTCATAGTACCCAGGCCTATTTCATTGTCGACCTTTCTGCAACATATATTGGGTCCTGCAGGATATTATGAAAATAACTGTACAAATACTAACTTCTGCTATAGAGCTGAATACATCCAACATGAGATAATCTTCATGGTACGCAGCTATACTGAAGGTCTCGATGGGAAGTTACTCCCTTTTTTTGGATTGCCAGACAGCGGGGACTTGGGGAACGTTTTAGAAACAGAAAGGGAAAGAAGATGGGTGAGGGGGATCTTAGAGAAAGGAAGTGGGGAAGAGGACAGGTTTATACACTCAGGAGAAGAATACGAACTCCAAAGTACTTACTAAGGAATTTACAGCATCTGCTGTTTGGCTGAAACAAGTTCTCACAGGTATTGGCTGTATTAATCCCAACACACTCTTGGGAGCACATTTTCCACTCACATGGTAATTATGTGCAAATGTAGGTTTGTACATGCAGTACATAATCACAACCATACATCGACAGTTTAACTTCCAAAGTGAAACATATTCAGGAGGTGCAAAACTTTTTCTCCAAACTCTACATTTCGAAGCCAGATAATTGTCTTTCCAGTGGTAGAGGACAACAAAATAGCAATGAAAGCTTAGGGGACCAATTCACCAGGAAGCACATTTAAGATTTATTCCCATTTCAGGTACATTATTATCTTCAAAATGATACATTGGATTTAAAGAGCCATGATTTACATTTCTTCACCAAATCACCTGATATTGACTGTACAGCCAGTTAGGGTTTGGGTTTGTCCATTTGTTCTCTTGTGGTAATTCCCCAGCAGTCCTACTTCTCTGCACAGCTAGTGCCTCTGCAGCAGGGCACTCAGACCATCATACTTATTGACTGCAACGCGATGGGTCCCTACCAACATCGCTTTTCTGAGGAACGCAGCTAGGGGAGGGAAACACAGTCCTAAAGTTACTAAACCAGTTAATCCTTAACACACGGAACAGAAAGGCAATTCTCTGGCCAGGTAGGCGCTCTCACAACTGATTGTAGAAAGCCCAGTTTGAATTATGATAGTAAAGTTGTGTTCCATCCAAGAAAGTTGCAAATATTTTAAATGAGATAATTTGAGGATGCTGATCTCCTCCTCCAGGGTATTTTTTCCAGGCCCTAAACCCAGATCTAGATCACAAATTGCTAAGACGACCTATAATTTTTACTAATTCATATATGGACCCAACAGGTAGTAAAATCCCTATACATAGGGTCTGCAGTAGACTAGCTGTATGTAAAATGTGCTATGTCATGCTACAGCTTCTTGCTCTAGAACAGAGCCTGTCAAAGAAGGCTGTAAATATATAACGTTTATAGAGAAGTTTGAGTTCATAAATCATGATTTGTTTAAACATTAACAAGTGTTCAGTTGTCCAGCTTCAGTGCTTGAAGCATACTGGATACACTGCCTGCAAAGCTTCGGACAGGTGCCTTGTATGAACACGGGGAACATTTTCCTAACTAGTAGCTGTGTTCACATCCACAAGGAGTGACACGGACCAAATTTTATCTAAGATAAAGTTTGAATTATCTTTTGAGTGGTGTGTTGTCTATTTGCCAAATATAAGACCAAAGAATTGCACCAAGTCTACCAATTACTTCTTTCCCATGGTGGGATCTAAATGTAAAAGAACCTTGTTTCTCTAGGTTTATTTGCAAGTAATAGATGCTGAAGGATACATATTGCTTACATATTTTACAGGCTGATTATCTGTTAGTGTTTCTGTATATGCTTGTACAGTCACACCTTTAATTACACAATTTAAATTAATTCATAGATATCTTGGAAATGAAGCTATACATTTTTCTTTTTTTATAAGCATTTTTGCCTCATTACCTCAGCTGTGCTTTCCACCTGGGCTTAAACAGAGAATTATTCTGTGGGCTCCAGTTCCATTCACTTGAAGAGACACAAACTTGAGCCATTGTTGAAGAGTCAATTATTCAAAGCTGTGCAGCTTCATGGCCACAGAGTACTTTGCTTAGGGTGCAGTTTTGCCATGGCCAGAAGTTTTGGTGGTGGAGTTTTATCCTAATGATTAGCTAACACCTTTTTGTAGGGATTTTTTTTCTTTTTTCAGTGCACCAAAACAACTAAACACCAGATTCACCAAGCTATGCAGCTCACAGCCTTAGAAACACATCTATCATGTACATCCAAGGAAAGTACAACACAAAAACTAGAACCCTGAACCAACAACACCAGAAGCATTTCCTCGCTGTTAGGAATACTCACTGCGGAGCAGGGCCTAGCGCAGGATTCTGAATCTGAAGTTTTCAAGACCTTTCCTGATGCACTGAGAGATACTTGCATAGAAGGCAGATACATACCTGTCATACACAAGCTCAGTCAGACTGATAGTATATTGGACACTTGGCTAGATTTAAACATCCTGAAATCATTCTCATAGATACCTATTTCAGTTACTGCAAACACTTACTTTAGAGCATAAATTAGGGTGCTAACAAAGAGGGATTTTTGCCCAAAGTCTCCAGACTACACAGACCACAAGACAAGGACAATCTGAATGCCCAGAGAAGCAAGAGACAACCTAACCTCCCCCTTTCTACAGCCAGCGAGGGGAAAAGCTGGTCTCCTGGGTAAAGCTAGGGAAGCTGCCTGTAACACGCACTAAGCAGCTTGCTGTCCCTTAGCCTCTGTTGGCAAAGGCTCCTACAGTTCAGCAATGACTCAGGAGAAGTTCGAGGCACTCAAAGGAGACTGCCCATGTGGAGGGGAGAGACCGTGGAGTATTGTTGCATGCTGTGGAGATACCTCCAAACAGTACTGAGCAAGACTCTCAGGGAGCTGACCTAAGAGCTGAGCAGCCAGTACCCTCAAAAGCATCACCAAGGGGCCTTGCTTTACATGACAAGAGAGGCTGGTTTCACACAGCTTCACTGCAGAGCCAGAGGAGGATGGTGCACCATTGTCATCTAGCTCCTCATAAAGGCTTGGTTTCAATTTACAAAAAAAACCCCACAGCGTCAAATCCACAGAAGCAACCATACTTACATAACCTGCAGGTTCAGAGGAAAAAAAGCCATGACCTTCGTCTCACGTGCTGAAGCTGCCACCTTCTTTTCCTGACTCAAAGCGCTCTCCACTGTGGTGGCTGGCCAGTGATGTGCACCCATTTCATGTTTGTCAAACATCATTTAAAACCAGCGCCCCATAAGGCGTTGGATTCAAACCCCAAACACCAGTTTCTGTGTGAAAGGCACAGAAAGTAACTACCCCCCTCAACACCCCATCTCAAACACTTTCCAAGCTTATTAGTGTAAATTTAACCCACATGTGCAAGCTGGTAGAGAAGCACAGGCTGTGCTTGTCAGCACAAGACAGGAGTGGAAGGGGAGCCATAAATAAACACAACAAGAAGCTATGACAGAGAAAATCTGTCCTGCTTGTAATCAAGTCAATGGCAGAAGTCCCAACAAGAAGCAGTGTTGCACCCTGCATCAGCAGCCAAGAGCTCAGTGCAATAACCTTACTTTCCCCATGCCTTCCTGTGCAGCTTGCTGAAGAAAAGAAATTCCTAGTGTTCCTTACACAATGTATCCCTTATCTTCTTACTGGAAACACACACAAAAAAAATTAATTGCGACCAGACCCTGTGCTGTACCACAGATCATATTTCAGTACAACTGATAAATAAAGAAAAGTCTTACATAACAGTCTTCATTCAAGAGACTTAAATCTGCAGCTTCAAATCCACTTCGTGCCCTTTCAGTCACATAAAACACTTTCCCCTAGAAGAAAACCAAGGATGGTACAAAAAGGCAATGTATTCTATTGGCCCCTTTAACAAATGAAACATTTACTTTCTGTTTGGTGTAAAGTGACAGCCTGCTTATTAGAGCTGACACTGATCCTCCCGAGAGGATTTCAGTGAGCGAGTTGCACAGGTGAAGGTCAAAGCAGCAAAGGAATTAAATGAAGAGAGGAAGGAAGGAGCTTCCTCTTAAGGACAGAAATTAGCTTAAAAGAAAAAAAGCTATTCCTAATGTGGCCCTCACTGACTGGAAATACAGCACTTGCAAAATGCTCTGTTTTCAAGAAATGCTTCCAAGACACTTTCTGAATTTAATTTTTTGATACCTGGTCACCAGCTTGGTGTGCAGCAGGCACGACCCTGGCACAGCTCTCCCTGCAGTAAGGACTATGTGAACGCAGTCTGTGCCGTGTCACTGCCTGACTTACGCACTATCAAAGGCAACACATGTAATAGCCTTACTTATGAATCATGCATCACTTTTGACGTACACGAGAAGAATAATTAATGTGAGATGATCCACTTTGTAAAGTGAATAATAAGACAAACACAAATGTACTGTCTCGGTGTCTCTAACTCCCCTGCCAGGCACGCACAGCTGGCTGCAGAGCGCTGAACAAGTTGTCTGGCTGCCCTCAGCAATCCTTCAATTCCCCAAAGCAATTAAGAGGTGATCAATTTTTGCCAAGGTTTGTTTAGGACTCCTGCTTTTGCCTCCCCAGACCCAGCCTGGGCCACACATGACCTCCCTGCGGCACCAGGACCTTGGCGGCCCTGCAACAAAAGCTGGAGAAGGAAGTTTCCATCCCCAGGAGGGGAGACACAGAGCTGGTGACAGAGGATGTGGGTCTGATGCATGGCTCTGAAAAGAAATAGGGATTTGAACCCTGGCAGCATAGCAAGTCCTGCCTCAGGCAAGGGTCATGTTGTGGCAAACCCCTAAGGGGAGATGGAGCCCTGATTTTTGTTCCTTTTCGTGTTTGCTCTGCTGAAATTACAGCAGCGAAAACAAAGCAAGACATTTTTACTAACCCTGACTGCACTGCACTGCGAAGGGCAGCATATCTGTGTCCCAGCTAACGCATGTAGTCAAATCAAGGACATGGGTGCTGGTGCACATGCACCCAAACTGGTCAACTCTGCTCCAAGCCCAGGGCAAGCCAGCTTTGACTTCCAAAATTTGTGGATGCTTCAACTGGGCAAATACCAAATGCTTTTGGTGTGAGCCATGCCTTGAGAGCCCCTGCGACCAGTACATTTGCTACACTTTTGACATTTAAGAGACCAGAAGAGCAGCTGAAAGTGCTAAGCCCAACCTTGCCTGGCCAGAAAAGCCCCCTCTGGAAATCTCTTGTTCTGAATATTTCAGCTCCCTTGCAGCACTGGTTTTAACTCCTTTCTAACCAAGAACCCTAAAAGCAGCAGAGCAAGCAGTTTCTGGGTATCAGGGACCCATCACCATCTGGGCATTTTGGGTTTCCCTAACAATTCTTAAAGTCAGTGAAGTGCATTTGAGCTTGCAGGGAGAAGTCGCTAAATTAAATCTGATGGGTGCCAGCATCTCTGGTTTTAATATCAGTGCTCTCCAATACAAGGTCACAGATTTTATTCTTTCTTCATGTAGATATCACTTACTTAAAACTATGAGGGTCTATCCTGGCCAGAGACATATTAATGAAGCCCCACTGACTATATTAGGGCTCTGCCAGGGTACACAGTGTGAGGATGTGAGCATATAAAAACAGTATCTTTCCTCTGGAAGTAGCTTTTTCATGGTGTCTGATAGGTCTGACCAAACAATTTTCTCAGTAACTGATTTATTGCAGTTTTGGTGAGTTGGCATTCTGGTATCATGTGCAGCTCCATGTGAGAGAGCAATCAGGAGCACAGAAACCAGATCATTGTCACTTGATCTAACCAGGGATGAAGGTCTAAAAATAGGTATCTTTGAGATCAAGTTTTTGATTCCTGAAATGCATCAGGCAAGTAATTTGGTCTATTAAATACTGTTGTCACTTTTCAGAGCTAGACATGGCATAGAGAATGGTACTTGGCCCTTTTCCTCCTAAACACAAAGAGAAAAAAGTGAAATGGGTTATGACCTGGTTCCTCTGCAATCACTGGGGACATGATGCCCATTTAGGCCACCAGATATGGCACAGGCGGCCCTGTGTCCTCAAAGGAGCTCACACAGGAATGGTTCCCAACCGTGTCTGCCTGTGCCACATGTTTTTCCAATATAACAAAGAGCTGGGCAGGTTTACTTTCACAAAGTGTTCTAAATTTGCTAGATGAATAAGTGACACAGAGAAGATGTATTATCCCTGTGTGTCATGACTTTCCCAGCAAAATAAGAGTCAGAAATCCAACTTTCTGATTCTCAGTCCTCCTTCAAACCACTCCTTGAGTTGCTTTGCCAGACCATTCGTATTTTGCTTGGCAACACCACTTTCTTATTTTTAACAAGATTGATACAGGAGTGCCTGGATGTCAAAGGTACACTAAGAAATATGCGCATAAGAAAGACAGGATCTGAGAAGTTTGGCTAAGACAGAAAGTTTTGCAGAGTCATCTAATCTAGCCCAGTTTCATTCAGCAGTTTTCAAACCTGATGCTCTGGATAATATCCTGAGCTTGAGCACATCTCCATGGAAGACCCCAAGGAATAGTCTATGTAATTAAATGCATTCCTTGGCTTTACACAATTTCTGTGGAATACTGAAGAAAGCCACTCGCATACTATTCACACTTAATATAGAGCACCTACTCAAATAAACATGCTGAAGTAGAAATGAACTAATAACTACCTCTAATCTCTTTTAAAGGTCACAAGCCTGCTAAAATGCTCTCAATGCAGTTTCAAGTATGAACCAGGAAAACCTGTGGATCTCTTTCCCTCTGCTGGGTTCCCAGCACAAAGTGCTTGCCCTCCATGCGGAGCTTCGCCTGCAGAAGTTCAGGCCTTCTTTGGCTTTTTCTCTGAACCCTGACATCTGCAGAGTGAGTAACTTTCACCAGACTGTCTGCCCCCTGCTACCTCCCACCCCATTGACTGCTGCAGATGGAGGGTTATAGTCCAGAAAACACAGTGGGGATAGCCAGGTAACAACTGAGCTGCCTGACTTGCAACTAGGCACCATCCATTTAGAAGTACAGTTAGAAAAGTTATGGTTAATCACCACTTGGGGAGGAGGGGGGGTGGGGGGAGAAGCAAAGAAGAAATCTTCTTTCTTAAGAGATAAGGACAAGAGTGTCTAATCCCAGATGAAGTTCTTCCCTTTGTGCTTAACAGAAGTTCACTCCGTTGAGTCATCCGTGCATCTCTCCCCAAACCAATCTAGCCCTCATCTGATGACCTACGTTATTCAAAGATTCTCTTCCAGCAACCAGAAGAGAGCACCAGTACGCATCCTCTGAATTTCCTTTTAGACAGCACTGCCACCTCTGACACTCTCAGGGACCCCTATGAAGGGGGGCACCCTAGGCATTTCCATACAAACCAGTGCCACCCATTTTATGGCCCATTAAGATCAGATCGCCACCCAGGGATATGGCTGAAGAATGGAGTTAATTGGGCCAGGTACACAGGGAGGCAAAAGCAAGTTGGCACGCAGTCGCTCATGCTACTCTAGCTGATTACACTGATAGTAAACCTTGCACTCTGAGACCACATTTACTTTCCAGGCCCAAGAAAGATATGTGCTTCCTCCTGTATTCATTAAGTCAGTATGAAGACTGGCATGCAACTCCTGAAAAAAAAAAAAAAAAGAACACTTCCACAGTTGTGCCATCCTGCATGTGCCTTTCCAGCAACTGGCTTGAAGCCCATTTTA